CTGTCACAGCCGGGGGAGGGGGGGGACACTCCTGCTGGAAAGCAATTTCACAAATCATTTTTCTAACAATTAAGGAGTGTGCAGGGGTGAAATGGCGATTTCACATGCAGGTCTGGGGGCCGGGGGGGTGTTACCTGCGCACCCAGCTGAGAAAGAAGGAACCCCTTTCTAAATTTTAAATTTTTTTTTTTTTTCCTTTTTTTTGCCCAGTGCTTTGCTTCATTACCCATGTTCACAAAAGAGAGACCCCTTCTTTTCTCTCCTGGGAGCAGCGAGCAATAGATTAAAACAAGCATCAATCAGGAAAGGAGCAAGTAACTGCTTAAAGAAACAGGGTCAGAATTCCTCCCCGCTTTCCCCTTTCCCTGCGCATCTCCATGGTTTCCTAAGGTATGTTTCTGGTTGATAAATGCCGTATATCGCTATTCCCTTTGGAGAAACGGCTTGTAAATCAGCGCTGAAAGCCAACTCATAAGCAGAAGGGAATGGGGTTGGCGCTTTTTTTTTTTTCCCCCCATTTTATTTTTTAGGAGCATCTCTCGCCCCCAGCATCCATCCCCTGCATCCTCCGGGAGAGGAAAGGGGTTTTTCAAGAGCGAGGTGTTAGATGTCCCCTTGAGGGGGCCAACACCACCAGGCTGGAAAGGAAAAGGGCTGTATATCCAATTCTCGGCTTGAAAAGGATGCACACAGGTTAGCTAAGCCTGTCCAGAAAAATCACCGGGGCATGAGCACTGCGCCGGAGGCGAGCAGTCCCTATCATCAAGTATTATTAATTATGATTCTCCTCAACGGAAAGTCCGACTTTTTTTTTTTTTTTTTTCTTTCGGGATGCCATCCCATTTCTAGAGCGATGCCGATCTAGAAACGAGAGATCTCCTTAGAAGCCAGATGCGTCTCATCTGGTCAGCTAAAACCTGAAGAATTTGATCACGATTTTTTTCCCCCCTCCACAAGTAAAATGAAAAAAAAACCCAAAACACCTCAACCCCAAACCCGCCCGAGGATGAATTATTTAATGAAAAGTTGCTACCTTCTGCAATTACAAGAAGATTACTAATGTGGGAAGGTTTTCCATTTGAGATCCCGGAGTAATAAGCATTATTTTTTTAAGCGATTATCCAATAAATCTCTCTTTAAAGGACGATAAATCCACCTTGAAAACCGGGGATTTAAAAAAAATATTTCTGAGGGACTTCCGCATTTTTTAAAATGACCATTGAAAAAATCGTCAAAGGAAGAGTAACACATTCAGCCTGAAGTGTTTGTTTTTTCAGAAAACCCAGAAAGGAGAGAAGGAATACTTGCAGCAAAGGCAGACTCAGGAAAAACAGGCTGCTTGGTTAAAAAGGTGGCTGAGAGCTGGAAAAACAGCACCTGGTCCAGGATCAGGGAAGCTAAGTCCACCCATCCTCCCCATCACCAAAAAAAATTAATTTTTCTTATTTGCATTAAAGCCCAGGAGCTGCCAGAGGAGGCAGATGGGATTTGGGTACAGCTATTTGGTGCCTGATCCCACTCGAGCCTCTTGCAGCATCCCTGACCTTCTGATGCAGAAGAGCCCTCGCACGTCCCACAGGACCCCAAGTGTCCCCGGGTATCAGGGGTCCTTGGGCAAGGCAGCTCCTCAAAGGGAGCTTTAGGCAAAATATGAGCTGCATTCATTGCTAAGATCTGCTGTTGGTTGCAGGTGGGTTAGAAGAAGCAAAGACAGAGCAGGGAACGGAAATTTAAGGTCTTTTGCTTGGTTCCCCAGCTCCAGAGTGTGGCTCTTGGGCTGCCTGCTGCTCTCTAATTCTCCTTCCTCCCCTTTCTCAGGGGAACAAGGCTCTGCTTATTTGCCCAAGATGCTCTTAACTTCCTTGCTGAAGAGGGAAAAAAAGTTCCACGCAGTCAGACCATGGGGGTTTTGAAGCCCTAAAGCAGGGAGGAAAACCATTTCCACTTCCAGGACTATTTCTAAAGAAGTTGTTTGCACTTCTTTAAAATGCACCATCAACACCGACCCCGCAGCTTTACAGGGAACCGGGTTAGTCGTGCTGTTAGTTTGTGCATGTAACAGGATTTTTTTTTTTTTTTTTCCCCCTAGGGAAGCCAAGACCCAAACCCAAGAATAAAACTCTTCCAACTCCACTCTCCATCAGGATGCCAAACAAAAGGCGGAGTGTCACAACACCACCGGGCTCCTTGGATCTGCCTCTCCACTGGGTCAGGTTTAATTTGCCCAGGGTGCAGTATTAATAGGATGTAAGCTGCGCCCTTGAACAATTACCTTATCAAAGCATAACATCTATGGAATGAGCGAAGTATTTGCATTAAACAAATCAAAATAATAAGGCTGGCAATGGCCTTGTTCATTCTTTGAACCTATAAGTGGCTTTAGAGATATTCAACAGGCCCGCACCAACTTCTATTCCACTGGTAGTCCCTGCTTAGTTTTTCTAAAGAAGATTAACTACTCCTTGCTAAAAGGCTCAGTTCTACTTTTGTCAGTGTGCACAGACTAATTGGGTTTTCCCTGCATACAACGGGATTCCTGTACACCCACTACTGGTCTCACTTCCCATTTCACGTGGCTTTTGAAGACAGGGAGAACACTTTCCTCCGTGTGTTTGATTTGTTCAGTGTTATGCAGTAGAAATAACACACTAAAACAGGACCTGACCATGTGGGGAGAACGACCACATTGAGAGATGCTGCTGGAACAGAATAAGGGTGGAAAAGGGGATTTTCCTAACTGGTCCCTTCCTGGAGTTTAGCAAATAACAGCTTTCATGGGAACAGGCTTCTGGAGAAGGTGGCAGGGGACACAGCTGGTCCCAGGGGGAAAACACTGAGCCAGGGCACCTAGGGGCCAACGTGCTGTGAGAGGAAAGAGGACAAACTGGGAGGAAGAGTGATCATGATTTTAGGGTGCCTTTCCTTTTAGTATGCTCAGCTTCAGGCATGCTAAAGATGGATTTACAAAAAAGAGCAGAGCACCTGCCCTCAAATAACTCAAGCTGCCTCTGCGCTGGATATACATCCAACCCCCTTGTTATCTGGCTCATAACTCGCCTGTTCCCAGATTAGTCCCACCCCAGTACTAAGGGCCAGGACATTTTGCACCCCCATAAAGACATCACTCTCCCTTCCTTACGCTGGGGAGTAAGGAAAGCACGCCCAGATGCCTGTATCGAACAGCCCAGCTACTCTCAGCACTTCCACAGCTGTCTGAATTTTCTGGGAGCTGAATCTACTGTAGCAACAATCCTTTACATAGACAGAGGGGAACACCACGCTGGACGAGGCCCTTGGAGAGACAGGTAAACCAGAGCACAGGGCTTGTAC